GTGCTTGACACAATGGATGAATGTATGGCTTGTGATGAGAGATATAAGAACCCCCAATAAAAGTATTTAATTTAAAAAAAAACCAAACCCCTCATATACATATAATGTATTTTTAGGAATTACCCCCAATACAGTACTGTTACGTGCAATCTACAATTGGGCAACAAGGTACCTGCTACCCCCAATACTTGATACTTTGCTTTAACTTTTGCTTCTTCATAAAATACTTTCCCCCCCCCACAACTATTTAGGAAAAAAGAAACTTAACTAGCCCTGCAAAATTCTGCCACAGGAAATTCTTTTAGCCTGATTTTCCCTCTATCCAATGTCCTCAAGTCACCAGCTCAGTTGTGTGTCTTGGCCTCTTCTCTTTATCTGATCATATTTGGATATAGTTTCAGATTATTTATTTTGTCCTCAACTTGGCAACCTCTTAGGATGTTACTTCTGGCAATAAGTCCCCTTTTACTAGGCCCAGGCATGCCCTCTGGACGTGCCAGCCAAACCAACACTGCCTCTTACCTTTGCAGGTCTAAAAATGATTGTGTTCATCGTTGTTTCTTAGAAACCTTTGCCATCTTTAAGGCTTGGCTCAAATACCACTGCTGTAAAGACTTTGTTTGCAGCAATAGTCAATATTCATCTACCACATGTAGTCAATTCAAATTCATTTCTTCAACACTGAAAATACTTTGAAGAAAGTTGGAAATAAACATTTAGTTTCCAACAGTAATGGCTCACTTTCATTATTTATTCTTGTTGACTCTTCTATAGCATATAAATGGTTAATTTCTCTCTTGAAATTCTCTCTCCCTTTGGTTTATATCTTAATGCAAAAATGGAGCATACATACAACACAAATGCAGAATACAAATATATAAAGTTTAATAATTAATTTCAATGCAAATACTGTGTCAAAGAACACAACATTGCCAGCACCGTGGGAGCTCGTCATGTTCTCTTCAATTGCAATCCCTCCCTTTCTTTTTGCGAGTTAACAATGATTCTGATCATTTTACTGACCTTTCCCATCTACGTATATGGTTCAAACACACTAGTTGCTTTATTGGAGAAAGATGAGACTTTCTTCTCCCATAAAGATGTTTTGTCTCAGAAGCCCCATAGAGCAATTCTAACCTACTACACAGGGTCACTTAGGTCTAAATCAACTTGAGGACAGTATGTTATTATGCATCCTTCAGTAATATATTTTAGCTCTGTTGTTTGAAATTTTTTATAATGGAGATTATCGTGGACTTTTTGCTTTTTGGCTCAACATCATGCTTATGAAATTTATCCATGCTGTATATACCAGTTGTTTGTTCATTGTTGACATTGGGTAAGTCTATTGCACAAGACCTCTTTAAAGTTGAAAATCCAGGATGTTACTTTGATGACGAATGTGTGCCTGACTCAGCCATGGTATTTTCAATACCTCATATGCCTATGAATGTTGGACATTGAATAAAGGAGACTGAAGAAATATCAATGTGTTTGAACTAAAATAGTGGTGAAGAATATTGAAATTAACATGGACTGCCAAAAGAACAAACACACCTGTCTTAGAAGTACAGCTAGAAAGCTCTTTAGAGGCAAGGATGTTGAGATTTACCTCACAGTTGGTACATGTTGTCAGGACAGACTGGTCCCTGGAGAAGGACATCATACTTGGTAAAGGAGCATGCTTTGAAAAGGAAAGACCTTTGACAAGATGGATTGACCCAGTGGCCACAGCAATGGTATCAAATGTAATAACAGTTTGGAGGATGTCCCCGCATGGGCAGTGTTTCAGGCTGTTGTACATGGGGTTGATATGAGTCGGAACTGACTCGATGTCACCTGACGAAAACATATTCCATTGTGCGAATGCAACCTGGTTCACTGACACAGTTTGCTACAGGCATTGGCTTGTTTCCATTCTTCACTCTTCGTTAACAGTACTGCCAAAGGCATTCCTACATACATCTCTTACACGTGTGTAGAGCTTCACATTTCTCTAGAGCTCTGGGAAATTGCTGGGTATTTTCAAATTGTATAGAAAATGCAAAACCATTTCAAAATAAGACTATGTGATAAATTGGTCTACATCACACCAAGACATGGAATTGTCAGACATTTCAGTATATTATTTAAAATCACATTTCCCTGACAATGAATGGAGTCAAGAGCCTTTTACTAGGTTTATTAACTTTATAGGTTTATTAACTTTACTAGGTTTATTAACTTATAGCTTTCCCTTTTAATAAATGCCTATTTATTATTTTCTTGATTTTCTCATTGGGCTATGATCATTTTCGTAAGCTATGTGGAACGTCTCTGTATAGTGTTTATTGGACCCTTGACAGTTAAATGTGTTACAAATACAGTTCATGTTTGTGGTTGGTCCTTCTTTCACAGTCTTTGAATGAAGAGAATTTCCTAATTTTAATGTAATAAAACATCAATAATTTTCTCTATGGCTAGTGCTATTTAAGAAATCTTTTCATAATTTGACATTAAGGAGGAAGTTTCCTGAAAGAACATATAAAAACCGTGTGTTCAATCTTTTATGTTTAATTGGAAGCCTTTTACTTTACTTTTTGTTCTCTTTTAGGGATTTTGTCTTTTCTGTCTCTAAAATAAGCTCCCTCTTTAGAGCCACGTTTGTCACTCCACACATTCTCCTTGATTGATTCCCTGGTATGCCTTCAATTCATTTATAGAGGGTCTTTTCTACAATGCAGTGATGGTTCAAGTGATTGAAATTAGTAATATCTATGACATCATAATTTGTCAACTATTTTAAGTATTCAATTTTGTGCTCATCATACTATCTGATGAGATAAATTCCTCTTCCTGGAGCTACCTTCAGATTGGCTTGTTTATCACCATTTACTGTTTTCCTTGAACACTTGAACTTTAAAAATTCAAGTTCTATTAAAATATTTTTGTGAATCTTAGGTTGTTGTTAATATATATACTAATGTGTGCCTATTTGGGCAATGGGGCTACATTTTCTTCTTATTGGTTTTGATGCATTCATCCCGGGGAAACACGTGGTAATATGTCATACTTTTTTTAACAAAAGTCATGGAGCACTATAAGAATAAAATAATATCTTATTTACAAGGTAATTTTTTTTATCATTTCAGTAAACAGTTGATAGGCACTTGTTATATGCCAGGCACTGTGTCAGGTGACAGATAGGCAGTGAAAAATGCATGCCCCCTATTTTTAGAGAAAATTAATTAAAAGTCTACCTATAAATAAATAATTACAATTGGTCTTAAGAATAATAGTGATCAATTACATTTAGAATGAGTGTCAGAGTATATAGAAAATGTCTTAGCTAATATCTTTTAACTGAGATGTAAGAGATCAATTATCAGATAGCATAAAGAAATAAATGTTGCGCAGCTGGAACAGTAAGAGCAGCATTAAGTAACGGCAGAGACTTGAGAACCTCCGGCTCCCCAGGGAACGGGAGCACTTCGTGGCTTTTTAGTCTGTGACAAGAGTGTGTTTAGAGACCAGGCTTGAGCGATCAGCAGATGTCAGATATTGTTTGGCCGTATAGAATACTAAAAACTTTATCCGAAAGGCTTTAGGGAGAGATATCAATTGGTGTTAAACAGGGGAAGCATTGTCTGATTCACATTTTTGAGATAACAAAACAAAACAAATTATATCAACCTAGAAATGCATACAAAGTAGAACATTATTGTAGTTACGAAAAATGATAGACACTTCTGTCCATGGAAGCACTCAGCACAAGAGCAAGAAAATGGAGCAGCCCACATGCCTTTAGCAGAAGGATGGATAAATGAACTTTGGGACCTAGAAACAAAGGAAGACCCTGCATTGTTAAATAATAACAGTGAAGCTGTGGAACAGCTTACAACATGGATGAAGTTGGGGGCGTTATGCTGGGTGAAGTTAGTTAGTCACAAAAGGACAAATAATGTATGAGGCTATTGCTATGAAAGAAAAAAGCCAAGATAAAGATTGTTCATACAAAAAGACTATCACTGAGGACAATGTTACTATGGCCTTTGTACGAGACCGTAAGATCCTAAGCAAAGAGAACAGAAGTGAGGATGTTGAAGAAGAAATAGAGTCAAGGCACGCTAAGAAGTCATGGTGATACACTGAATGGACTTGGGGAAGACAGGAGAGATGACGATGCATGCACAAAGTGAAGTAATAGAAGCTTGATACTTGCGAGATAAAGAAAAGGATGAGTTACATGACAGGTTGAATTTGACGTGCCCGTGAGAGGGATGTACAGGTGAATATGGATAGACACATAGATTTGGAGTCCAAGTGAGAGAAGTGTGGAGTTAAGATGTATGTCTCAGATCCTCCACTAGCGCACGCACGCGCGCACGCACACACGCACAAGTGCTCTGACGCCACGCAAGTAAGAAGAGCCTAGGTCAGAGATAAGTCAATGGTTTACCAACCTCGAAGCAGTGAACAGAAGAAAATTCAGCAAAAGAAAATAACGCGAACAAAGAAGACTGAGAAATAATTATGTCAGAAAAAAGAGTGGCCAACAAAAACAAGAACCAGAGATAAACAGTAGAATTTTGAGAAGTCTCACATATTTGGCATCACTAGAGATCTTCATGAAATCCAGTTTATTAGCGATAATGAAGGTAGACCAATTTTTCACAGTTAACTATTGCAGAGAGGAAATGGGTAAAATAAGACAGTTGAGGGATGAGAGAAGGTAGAACAGATTTCTTAAAATGAAAAGCATATATTACAAATGATTAAGATACAGGCAAAAAGGGATTAAAATAATGATGATTGCAAAATAGAAAACCAAGTAAATAGCGGCGTACTCTTTCATGGGGCAGATGCAGTCCTAAATTACGCTGCTAAGCCCACACTTAACAAAGACGCGAGAACTCTTTGCTGAATTAAACGAATTTGTGTTTCCATCAACATATCATCATCTTCTTTGATGCCTTGGAATACTTTTGAGTTTAATTTTGTGTGTTTATTCTTTACAACAGGTCACCGGACGCTGTTTATTGGCGTGCATGTGCCCCTGGGAGGAAGAAAGAGCCATCGGCGTCACAGGCACCGTGGTCATAAACACAGAAAGAGAGATAGAGAGAGAGATTCAGGTTTAGAGGATGGAAGGGAGTCACCGTCCTTCGGTAAGAATTGTTCTCCTTGTCTTTATGGAATCATGATTGTGAAAGTACTGTCTTAGTTTGTATACATTGATAATTGGCAGTGATACCTTATACTCACAATACTGTTTACACCTTAATGAAAGATGTTGGGCATTGTTAAGAAGCAGTAGAGAGAAAACGTGATATGCATGTCCCTCTTGGGTATTTGTTTTGAAAATGTTTGTGAACACTACTTTTTTAATAGTGTTTATTTTGAACTGTAACCAGGGTATTCAAATATGCATGCATATTGTCATAGTAGTTGTTAAACATTCCAGAATTCTATGAAAGCCTACTTGCATGACATGACTGAGGACTCAGCTTTCAGTTCCTTGACATCCCTATTGTCTAAGATCTCCTCTGAGCCTCAATCACACACTCATCCATAGTTGGTCCACCTCTAGTCAGTGATTCAAGCACCACACTTTCAGATCACTGCTATCTTCTTACTTGTTTGTGCAATTATCTCAAGTGTGATTATTTTTCTACCTTGTCAAAATCTTCAGTTCATTGACCCCACTGCTTTATTTTCCTATTTTTAAACTGCCTCCTCCCTTCTTCTTGCTTTCTCCTTCACGACTTCCCTTCTTTTTGAACTTTTCATTGTGATTAAGGTGAAAGTTAACTGAGCAAATTGATTTTTCTTTTACTAATTCATACACATTTTTGTTTTGTAGCTTTGGTTGCAATCCTCACAATATCAGAACAGTTTTCTCACTTCCTTCCTGTATTTACCATTTGCCTTTGATTCCTTCCCCATCCCTTCCTGCCTCAGAGCTTTATCCCTGGGAAAACGCTGCTTTTTGGGGGTGGGGTGGGGTGCTGAATTTGATTTGATTCACCTTATTGGCATTTCAATGGTATCTTATTCAATAAGAATAATAAAATTAATAGCCTTATTAATGACTACCAGTTATTAAATACTTAGCCATGTTCCAGGCATTGGGTCCTAAGTACTTTACATCTATTATCCCATTTAATGCTCATAAAAACCATATAAAGTTTAGGTATTTTTAAATTTAATTTAATGTGTGGAATCTTTCTTCATTTTTTTCCCCATCTCACTTGGTACTTTTAAAACAGTTGTTGGAATATAACTCACGTATCATACAAGTCAGTATTCTATCATACCAAGAGGAGTTGTACAATCATCACTACAATCAGTTTCAGACATTTTTTGTATTCTTGTATTCATTATTAGGTCCCCATTTCCCTCTGACCTGCTCTGTCATGCCCCCAAGGAACCACTTATACAGTTTCTTTCTCTGTAGTTAGATTTTATATACAGAAAAACATTACACAACACAACAAAACCTAACGACAACAAAGTAAAACAGATAAAAACCACAATTGAAAAGAAAGCAGAAAATATTAAAAATGAGAACAAATTTAAAATGGATCACAAGCGTGATCAAACGATAAGGTGCTAAATTTTAACCTAACTGCATCTGCAGTAATCCACTGGCCAATGCATTCTGCATGATAGCAAGGCTATTCACATGCCTCCCCATGATTAGAGGGGGTCTACGCGAGGCTTAATCCTCATGTATTTTCTCTTACCTTTTAAAATTAAAGCAACTTTAATATGGGTCAAACGGGAGACAAATGATCAGATATTAAATTTTACTACGTCTGCCACAATTTACTTTATAATGCTCTATGTTTGATAACAAGGATATTCACACCACTCAACTATGATCAGAGGGAATTCACCAGAGGCTTAATCCATGTGTGGATCCTATAAATGGATTTTGGGCTTCCACTGTCATCCATAGCCTTCTGCAAACCTCATGTTCACCATTTAAGATCTGATACCATTTCTTCCTTTGGATTTGGGTTGTAGTATTTATGGTTCTTTGGTCGCCAAAGTTGGTGTGCTTCTTCCCTGTGAACTTAGTGGACACCTCACTTAGATGACTGCTGTTTAAAGACTAGCCTTTAAGACCCCAGACACGATTCCTTCTAATAGCTGGGTGCTATCTGATTCTCTCAACACATTTGCTACCCCTATCTTCAGTGATCTTTTCATGAGGGCAAGCATCAAGCAGGAATACCACTTTTTTATCTCCTGTAGTTGATTGTTCTAAGAAGGGTGCACCTCCCTGGTGTCATTATTTATAGGCCTAACCTATCTATGTTTAGATGAAAGTCAAGTCACAGAGGTAAGTTCAAATCTAGGTTTGAAGGGTTTCTAAGGGTCTTGGTCATGGGGATTTCACCAGTCTCAATCCAATCATTCATATTTGATAGATGAGTATTATTCTACATTTTCTCCCATTCTGTGCAAGACCTCCTATTATTATCCCTTTCAGTGCAGTCAGAAGTGGTAGCCAGGCTTAATCTAGTTCTTCTGGTCTCAGGGTCATGGAGGCTGGCATTCAATTGGTCTGTTAATCTTTTGGCTGATTTTTCCTTGCATCTTTGTGTTTTTTACTCTTCTTTGTTCCAGATAGGGAGAAACCAATAGTTGCATCTTAGACGGCCACTCACTAGTTTTAGGACCCCAGGTGCTATTCACCAAGTAGGAGGTCGAACACTGTCTTTGCAGACTATGTTGACTTTGGTGTCCTCTGAGACTGTAGTTGTGAGCCCCAGGTCCAGCAACTCGTTTCCTCAAGGTGTTTGGTGATTGATAAGAAGTTTGCACAACTCTGCTTTTTGTATGTCCTACTGTATTTATGGATATATTTACAGCATCGATAGATACATATGTAGAAATATACTGTCAAGCCTGTATATATTCTTGAGTGTGATCTATTTGTCTTCCCACCCTTGTTCAGCTTGAGTAGCTAGCTATGTGTCCACTTGTAAATCACTTTTATTATTTCAGGGCTATGTAAGTAATAGTGTTTTCCTTTGTGTCCTTTAACTCTGTGTTCCTCCCAGTGTCTTCCTTTGCCATGATCATTTTGTGCTGACCTCCTCCTTATTGTATTTCCTTTCCATCACTCACCTAGTTAGTGATGTACCCTCTGTGTTAGGCTGGGTTTTCTAGAGAAACAAAACAAGTTACTCTCATGTATGTTTAAGAAAGAACTTTATATCAAAAAGTTGTCATATCAAGAATGCCACCCAGCCCAGTCCAACTTATTCCGTGGGTCTGGCGCTAGCTGGAGCCCTCCTCAGACTCACAGCTGCAGGCAGATGATGCAGCTGCAGACGCAGGATGCAGGAAGGTCACAGGCAGGGGGTGCAGAATCATGTGGCTCCAAGGTCAGTGGAAACATAGCAGGACAGCGAAAGCTCTCAAGGTCAGGTGGCTGACATGGGACCACCCCTGGAGGTAGGCATAGTGTCCCAGCAAGCAGGAAGGTGAGGGGACAGAGAGGGTGAAGTCCTCGGTGTCTCTTATACACTGTCCCCACTTCCCAGGGAGCATCATCAGGCTGTGACTTGATTGACAGCCGGGACTCTACCCCAACATAAGTGCAAGCTGACCTAAACTCGAACTGCTATATCTTCTCTCACTCTCTTACCCCAGAAGTCTTCAAATGATACTTCCTTCTATGTAACTTTCTAAGTAAATGTTTTCTTGACTTTTTACAATAATAGTCTCTTACAGTACTCGTTTTTTTTTGTGATAGAAAGGTATGCATCAGGAAAAATGTGTGTCAGGGTTGTGTCCTTTCGCCATACTTGTTCATTTGGTATGATAAGAATATAATCTGAGAAACTGAACTATATGAAGATGAACACATCTCAGGATTGGAAGAAGACTCCTTAACTATCTGCAATATGCAGATGATACCACTTGACTTGCTGAATGAAGTTCAAAGACTGTAGTATTCAGGATGGATTACATCTCAATGTAAAGAAAACAAAAATCCTCATAATCGGACCAACAGACATCATTATAAACAGAAAATACCTTAAAGCTGTCAAGAATTTCATTTTACTTTGATCCACAATTAATGCTCATGGAAGCAGCAGTCAAGAAATCAGGTGACATATCACACAAGGAAAATCTTTTGCACAAGATGTATTTAAATTGAAAAGAGCACAATGTCACTTTGAGGAATCAAATGTGCCTCACTCAACCCATAATCTTTTT